TATGGAGATTTAGAGCAGATTCATATAAACCAAATGGCGAGACTCAAAATTTTGTAAACCTCAAGGTGACTCGCCATAATACATAACAGGTCCTTGACTATATAGTAAAAGATGGGCGCAGGTATGCGATTACTTTGTCGCCAAGGACCCAGTAGGCGTCATACACTTCATGTAACCCCAGATAATTCAAATGAGTGGATGACAGTGCAGGGAAGAAGGTTCCTTTTCAGGACATCACTAGGTAGTGCAAAGATCCTTACGAGAGAAAAGCGTTTGTAGGAGGGTATCCCCTACTAGATAGCAGTATCGATACGCTTTTACTACTTAGACCGGAATAATATTGCGCTTGGATTTCGTACATAGCTCGATACGAGATTGTGGACGATCAGACACACAATGGGGGCGATTCCGAAACACAATGACTGGACAGTCTAGTAATAATTCGTTGGCTGAGTAAAACGACTCTTCTTCCATACCTTCGAATATGCGTCAACTCCTGCAAGATGCAACTTGGCGGACTCTCTCCAATAGTCGGGTCTTACTTCCAAGACCTTACACAGGATCACACAATGCATACATCTCACGGGTCTTTCTCTGCATATACATGATGTGTTTCGCTCCACTTCGGGACAGAATTTATATGGGAACACACTACTCACCAGCTCAAACCCTAAAGTAATTCGCTCCAACTGTTCAAACCTAGGAATAGACTGTTTTTTCATTTATCCATTTTAGCGAAGCGATTAATCCCCAACAAAAGAAAATTTTACAATATGAACGTTTCTTGGGCGCAGAATCGAAAAGACAGACATTTATAAATAGCAATGCTTCATAGGTTTTTCCAGTGAAAGCCTACCAAACGTGTATGAGAAAAGTGACCAGTGAAAGCTTAATTTAACTTAGCCCATATTCGCTCCTACCACTCGATAACGTGATTCTAAGAACTATTGGTGTTTCGCACACATATTTTGAGATGACGCGCTCTCTGATATGTCGTATGATTTATACAACAAATCATCGAAAACCGGAGGAACATGCTACTTCAAATACTGGTGAAATGAGAGTCTGTGCTTTAGGAGAGGCTATTGCAATTAGATAAGTTCGAATCCAGCTTGCTTCCGCAAGCTCGCGGTAAAGGACAATCCCAGAAACATAGAGAATATGGGCACCGGAGGAGGATCATATTAAGATACCGATTATCATTTTGTAAGAGACTCGGAGTTCGTACCATCAGATACTTGGAACGAGAGCACCGCTAACGTTAAGCAATCGATGGGACTAATCTACCTGAAGCTTGGATGTTGGCATCAATTTAGCTTGCACAGCATTGTCTTACTAATTACACGAACGGTCTTTTCACAGTGCGCAGATTTTAAGTCCCACGACAATTGCACTGAACAGGCGCTCATGTAAAAGCAATGTCGGTCATCCCCTGAACCAAACGAACTCTCAGCACAAATATTCATCTGGGGGGACATTGTTATGAGTCAGAAAATAACCTGACCATCAGATTCCTTCATCTGGTCAAGCTTCCTCTTCATGTTAAATGTAGCTAGTCATGTGACGATATTTCGGTTGAACTGTTTATTCTCATGCTCTGGTAAGCCGTAACCGAGTATACGTTAAATATCTCGCTGGCTCAATTTGAGCGACACATCACTCAGGATCACCTTTACACATAAGTAGCCGGGCTTAAATGTAATATTATGTTGCTATAGTTGGCGGGGTTTCTCGTTATTGAGATAGACATTATAGATATGGCGTGTGGGTCAAGTAACTGACAGTATTAGACCACAAGAACTCTTGCAACGATGTAAACACCTTGAGAGTGATGCCAAGCTTTGGAACTTCGTTCTTTAAACAGTGCGTCCGAAACCTAACCTCTCTAATACACGTTTGGGGAGAAGTTAAGTCTCTACTCGTTAATACACTTGGGGGGTGCTAGACTGTAGTGGCCTGGCACACACTCCACTACACAGTTCCAGATCGACTCACAAATATATACATTCTTGCTGTCAAATATCATCATTATTCTTGTGCATCTTAAGACACGCTCTGCTATTAACTTTCTCTCCTCATTTTCTTGTACTGTGGCAAGAGTATTCAATTTGGAAGAACTCACAGGTTTAGGGGAGACGGGAGGAGATTTCTGTATACGTTAACAATTCTTGACCATCGTTTATTAGTTTGAGCCTCTCCTCAAATGGGATGGTTAGTTACTGTCCGAAGAAAGGCGGGGCATAGACCTTCTCAAACAAGGTTCAAGTCAAAACGACAGGTCGAGGGGCCAGACATTTTCAAAGGTGTTGAAAGAGAGAATAGACGGTCGGAATAAACTATAATCTCGAAAACCATAATTAAGTGATCAATGTTGCTAATATAGAAATGGGCTGCATTCTGCTCTCTATATATACTGTACGTGAAGCATAGTTCATAAGTTAGATTCGTACGTGCTTTGGGAGACTTAATGTCGGGAGCCCTCCGTTAGTGAACATAAATCCGCGTATTTCTATCTTCGCGGATATTGAGTCTCTTCTAGTAGACATAGTATCTAGAATATAGAATAGGCGTGAACAGGATGTCTAACGCTACAGTTTCAAATCATCCTCGTCTTCTTTGCTGGATGCAAGGAAAGAGACTCAACTACAAAGGAAATCGATAGAAGTCGATGATTGCCTTTGTACATACAAGGAATCCAGAACTCTTGAGAGAAGTGCGTGCTGATGAAGACCACAACGAATGTGTCTGATCGTCGAGTGGAATAACAGATAGATATATGGCCGTGTTGTCCCGAATGTATGTCGTGCACATAAGCCATAGGATGGCCTCAATACAAAGACCACAGCATAAAGGGTCTCACCCAGATCTCCAGAAGATGATTATCGTTAATGGAAGCTTGCTCTTCTCTTACAAAAAGGCCTTGTGCGGAAGGCTCGCGTCGCGCACCAGCTGTGGGCCCGATTCTACTCGAGACAAAATCCGATCGAGATCACTTGGCCAATTCGTGAGCTTCTTCTCAGCCCCACTCTTGTGTCTATGTTCTACCACTCCAAGGTCATGCGGACGAGCACTCGCTTTCTGTCTGGTAGAAGCTTAATGTGCTACATTTCTATCGCTCGAAAACGGATTGATAACTGTACACGACAGATATAGTCTACTCCAAGCGCAAAAAATATCGTTGAATGATACGCATTAACTGTTTCAACTCACCTACTATATCCCGCACAGACAACTAGTGCTTTCATATCCCCCTTCACAAAATGCTGGTTCTTAACCCAGCTACCTTGGTAGACTACCTCGACTTCTCTATGTTCTCTCTGAAACGAACAGTTAAGATGCACCACGGATAGTACTTTGCGGTATTGCATGACTCCCACCTACATCGCGTTCTGAAGCTCTATAACGAGCGTGCGTAACAACCTAGAATTAGCAGAAGACCAACCACTATACAAAGTTTAAACCACTCATAGATAAAATATTTGATATCAGTTTGAGCGCTACGTATATTTGCTCCCCATCAAGGGTAACAGGAGCCAACAAAGTAACCCAACCTGACTGCGAATAAATGATTTGAAAAGTACACCAGTGTGCTGTTCTCAACTGCGTGTGTTCTGTGGTTGATCTCTGTTGTGCAAGGTGGCTAGGCACTCATCCATGACCAACCTTTTGTACTTTACTCTCTATGTGGATAAAAACTACATTCCCCAACTCAAAGATTAGTGCTTGTGCCTCAAAATCGAAGAGGCACCGGCCCTCCGAATCTCGTGAGAGGCCAAGACTCCCAACATGATTTACTTTCTCAAATAATGATCCGCAGAGAGGGGTAAAGTTCAAGTAACAGACGTGTACCACTGTGGAGGTGTATGTGAAAGTCCAATGTGTGTGTTCACCCTTTGCTCGCTTTCGTAGCATTGAGGTGTTTATAGAGAACTAGCCACCAGTGGAACGTCATGCGACCACAACCTGGTTACTCAATTCGGTAGAAAAACACTCCCCAGTACCCAAGATTATAAGCATTGATCCATATCTCTATAAGACGAGGCATCACGCACCTACTACGAATCTACCGCGTGAGCCGAAGACTCCTCTCGACTTCATGCAGATTACATGTTAGCTGCGACAAAGTCCGAAGGAGAGAGGAGGTAAGAAGAGAGGAACGATTTCATCCGCTACTGCTAAGAATTAGTAATTGTGTGGTAATTAAGGTGCCCTGCTGTCGTTCTGACTCTCTGTGCTTCTGTAGCAACGAGTAGGAATAGAACATAAGGCATACCAACGCGTACACAATCTTATACTACACAAATTATCTCTCGCGAGAAATAAAAACAGTCCCCAACCAAAAGAGAGATCTCTCATAAGACTCTCATATACTATATCTCTCGATCGTAACGCGCCGCCGCCTCATTCACCAGACATTCGTGCGAGAGTCGAACTTACCAAACATGGAATTACTTGATACTCGCTCAAGGACATTCTGTGATGAGTACACGCTCTCCGAATCTCAGATAGCAGTCACAGGAACATGTTAGGCCCCAGAGCAAGGATATAAGTTGTTGCTCATCCCTCAAGTAGAAAAAATCGTTAAGAGGACGTTTCTCCGAATCTCGAGAGCAGGATCCCCGACAGATTGCTGTTCGAAATCGAAGGAGTATCGGCACATCCATACTTTTCTCCTCCCAACCTATCGTCTCTAAGGTATCTCCTTTCTCTCTGTTACGACTGGTGACTCCAAAAGCACCTTGTCACTTAATTCTAATACACACTAGCGCAACTAGTAGCTTTCCCAGGACTACCAACAGACTCACGTGTGTATTCAATAAGTCGCTTCCCCTCGCAAGGGTTAAAAAGAAGCAATTGCTGAAGCCTGAGCTAGCTCACTCGCTGACATGAACGCTAATTGAGACGTTTATAAAGTAACGATCAATATTGTTATTCTTAATCTACAGATGAGATATTAAAAACTAAGGCAGCATTTTCAAAATCCTGTACCTTTTTTTTTTTGTACAATGCAGCAAGTTCAGGAAACCGTAAATCATGACAGATTCCCACTCCGATACGACCAACTTCTGCAAATGTTCTACAATTGCTCAACAACGGCTTTAACTCATAGACAATCCGGATAAAATCTTGAAATAAAAAATTTGACATCACACATTTCCTTGAGGAAAGTTTAGGACAATTTCGGATGCATACCTGTGTCCACTATGGTAGTTTGATCTCCTGTCGAAAAGAAGTCAGATTCCTTAAATGATATCTCTCCTGGAACGTCAATGTCGAATAAATGTATCTGCAAATGAAGCAACACCAACACCTTCTTTTCAAGAGTTCTATCCAATTTTACGCTCCTAATTTCGTGTCTAATGTTATTCGATTAGAGTTTGTTCAGATCCTGTAAGGCCTCTTGCTCAGTGAAGAGCTAGCTATCGAGAGTCGTACTGCTCATCTCTAAGAACCCTATTTTCAAGCTTTTCACACCTCTCCACCTTCCAAGCCTTTCAATAATAACTCTCAATCCCGTTTTTCCCACTCCAGGCCCAACAAAAACTCCACCTTTAACCAAAATCACTTCCATCGTGCCAACTTTTTCAACAATTCCCGCAACTTCTTCCGTCATAACACCACTAACACCAGACCCTTCTGTACATTCTGCAATACCCATGGCCATTCTACTGCTAGATGTCGTAACTGTCTGAACCAGGGTTTCCAAGATTTCCCTCCACCATCAAAACTTACTACACCTTCCCCAAACAACTATCAGCCTCAATTGTCTTCTCCGTATGCATCATACTCACACATCACAACTTTGTTTTTCATCAATGGGTTCGTTTCAACGAAATGAAGCTCACATATAAGTTTGTAGTAGTGGGGAAATGAATGTAATGGTGCTTTGGTGCTCAACTTGCCAAAGTTTGAGAGGTAGTTGTGTTGTGTTTTCACGGGAGAAAGAGAGAAAGAGAAACAGGAAAAGAGATGAGTGAGGGAGAGAAAGAACCAGAAGAAGATGTGAACATACACATGAAAGACTGGCCATGGCCTGGGCGAGTACGAACACCAGTGCATCAACGATGAGCAGATAACGTAAATAGAATCATACAATAGTAAATCAATAATTCACGTCATTGTAATACTATTCATGGCTATAAGTATAATTAAGGCATCAATAATAATATGCATACCTATGCATCCCCTAGGACATAGCATAATTCATAATTTTTATTAATGCACTAAATCTTATAAACGTCACGCTAATCTAGGCGTATTGTAGAAAACTCTTTATGAAATGTATAAATGGAAACTAACAATTATATGTATACTATATAAAAGAAAAGACCCACTCACAGATCATATCGTCAGGTCGAACCCGCCTCACGGGTTTCGAAGATCCTTGCAATGCGTTTCGCCTTAGAAACAAAACCGTTAACGTAAATATATAATGTACTAACATAGAAACGTCTTTTTCATACAAAGTACGTCTAATAAATGAACTATTTTAAAACGGTCGAATTTTGGAAAATGGACGGCAGATTCGGATTCGGCACGTCGAGAAACCTAACGAGGGACCTTAGGTTCCTCCATGCACCGCCACAATGTGGCTGCACCGATAGCCATGTGCAACACACGCTGACCACCTTAACGTGTCCACACGCGCCCACGCGCTTGCGAGTACGACTGTACCCGCATTCCTCGCAAGTTCTTGCAGGTTTGCAGGTTTTTGGTCCAACTTCCAAAGCTCTTAACAAGCACAAATCTTAGTCATTTTCAGTGATTCAAAAACCAGAGTAAAGCTAGAAATGTGAGGAATCAGTTCATACCTGTTAGGGGTCGAGTCAACTTCAGCGTTAGCTAAAAAATGGGCCTAAAAGAGGCCAGATGGCCACGAATCTTGAGTTTCCCAGAATTCTGGGGAAGTCCTCCATTCGTCCCAACAGCTTCTGAACCCTATTAAAATGCGTCCAAACCTTGAGATTGTTCACTGACAATGAAAAAGGTAAGGAAGAGAGAGGTCCTAACACTTACCTTGGTCGGGATTGACGAGAACACGTCAGAGAAGATGATGAACAGTGGCAATGACCATTGTGCAATGCAGTTGCATGTTTGGGTTTGATGTTCATGGTTTGAACTTAATAGAGATAAGGAATGACAAGGCGCGATGGTGTTCTGATGGTCTAGCTCGCAGGAGTAATCGGGTGGTGGTGTTATGCGGTTTTCAGAGAGGGAGAGAGTGTTAGAGAGAGAAAGATAAGGGAGAAAATAAAGAAGAGAGAGGAAATTAGAGTGTCCTCGAGTATGGCTGTGACAGTGGCCGCCTCGCCGGAGTGGCAACGATATGGTGGTGGTGTGGTTGGTTCCTGACCTTTTGGCCTCTATTCTTTAAAGAAGAAGATGATAATGAGGGGAAGAAAGAATGGTGAGGGATGAGGGAGAGAAGTGAGGTGGCAACCAATGAGAGGCCAAGAGCATTTAGAAAGGAACACGGGAGTGAGGAAAAATAATGGGTTGTAGGTCCCACTCTGTTGACACTCCAATCCTATAAAAGACAAAATAGAATGAAAATCTCCCATAAGTGTGAAATTATCAAATCGCCCTTCACATTCGTAGTTTCGTAAAATTTTCGTCGTAACTCCGAATTCGATTTCGTTTAACGAGTTCGTAGTGACAAGTATTACGAGGATATGCTAAAAGAATGTTTCATACATCTCACAATATGCTGGTTAAAGAAAGTCAACATCCTCGCCTCTAGGGGCATTTTCATCAATTCACTCATTTAAAATTAATAAAATCGTAAAGTTAAGGATGAGTTGTTACAGTGATGACTTTTAATACAAGAGATCATTATGTAGTTCTTTTAACTCTCATTGTATAACAAGAAATGGATCTCAACCTATTAATTCTTAATTCCCATCAATAAAGATATTCAAGTGAGAGTTTATAGTTCATTGCATCTATAACTAAATGAGTATATGCATATGTCGATTTTAGTAGACTCAAACAATCTTGAGAATTTTTCTCGACACGAATGAGAAAATTATTTTGTTCATTTTTATATGAATGAAATTTTACATCGGAGATGATAAATTATTTGATTGAGTTGAAATCTAGAGTCCGTTGATTCTAAATAATTGAGGGCATGAAGTTACTAAGTTTAATTGCATAACCAACTGAAATGAAATTTTTTTGTGGTAGTATATAATATAGCAATTATGTAAAGATTCTAAGTTTGAACCTCCATTTGTCAAGAAAGTAATTGGCCCACGTCATCATTAATGACTATAAAGAATATGTTAGCCCAATTAATAGGGCAGAGGCCTAAGATAACAGGCCCATCACAAATTATGTGTAAGGAGAACTAACTAATAGCCCATTGTTATTTGAGCAATGATATATGCACACTCATTGTTTTCCTTGTGCACATTTTTATCAATTTTTTTCACTTAAGAATATTGATTCAATTCATAGGCTAAAAGTAAACAAGACGTGCAAGGATAGATGTGGCAAATCAACCCATTGAGTTGTTAATGGGTACTCACTAATACTCGTTTAATTTGATACCATCATAATATGGAGGTGAGATTGGTAGTAATGATGGTGTAAGGCAGTGGCGAAGCTAGTAATCGGCCCCGGGAAGGGCCTTATCGCAACATAATTAGTTGGAGAAAAACTAAAGCTTTTTATTTTTTTTTTGCCATGGAACCTTTTAATCAAACAAATGTGATGGAGCTTAAATTTGTATGAAAAATTTGGTATTTAGTAGATTATATCATAAGAACATAACTTCTTTACGAGTTTTGGTTAAGAAGGACTAAGGCTCAAACAAAAATTTAAGGTCAAGAATCAAAGCTATTTCTATGAGATTTCCTTTCAATATGATTTGATCTTCTTCTAAATTGTATAGACCTCGTTTTATATGAACTAACCAGAAGAGTGGATTGAATTTTATATGGTTAAACAAAAGCCTGGTTATAAGGTTAGGTTTATAAATAAAAAAATTTAAAAAAAAATTGTGGTAAGGTTGGGTCTTTGAAAGCCTAGTTATAAGGTTAGGTTTTATAAAAATAAACGGGAGGTTGGATTATAAAAAACGCGAAGATGTTGTTGGCTACTGCAAGTTTCGAACCCATCACCCCTCTGATGTTGTCAAACTTAACAACCAATAGGCCGCACAATCATTATGGTAGGAAAAGCTCACAATATACATATATAGAGCAATTCCAGGATGGGCCTAGCCCTACCCTAGTCTCTATGTGGCTCCGCCGCTGGTGTAAGATGAAATAAAATTAAGTGAATCTTAATGGGTACCCATTAACAATCCAATTAATAAATTTACCACCTCTATGCAAGGAGAACCGCTCCCTTTTTTATTAAATCGGGATTGTACGTCACATAATACTGTGGCCGCAGCATAATGCATGCATGGAAGAAACAATAGACAATAAGCATTTGGAAAGTGAGGGTGGTCAGGTCAAGACTTTGAATGAGTAATAATTCCCACTTCATTTTCATTCTGATTTCTGTCTGACTAACTACAGTAAATTTGGTATGGCAATCTGGATAGTTATAGTCCGGTAGTAACAAAGACAGATGCCTAAATCCCACACATGCATGTAACAGGGACTTGATTTTGAGACCACTACGTACTGTTCGTCGTCTACTACTACTACTACTGTTAATTAGTGTAATTTCGGGGCGGGTAAATTCCATCAGTAGGCACACAAACATAACTACATTTATATGTTCAGCTAGACATCGTTCTAGTTTCAATCAAAATCAATGACTTCTTTGTTGATATTTGAACACATCAATTGCTTTCATTTTGCAAAATGATCAGCCGTCACTTCAATATTTGGTGCAGTCAACACCAGAAGCAAGAAAAGCCTTTTCTATGTTATTAATTAGTAAAGCGCTAACACGCAACGGCTTTATCTGTAGGTTTATACTATTTGAATGACTTTGCAGAACACTATGTGTGATTTTTTTTGTTAAACGATAAATTTTGTTAAATTAGATGTTAGATTAGCTACCGAAGGAATTCAAACCCACACCGTCATGCAAGACTCAACACTTTTCCACCATTGTGATAAAAGGCCACTGGCAACACTGTGTGTGATTCGAGTTAGACTGCAACTTCTCAGACTGCTAATCTCGCTGTACGAATCTAAATATGTCATAATTTATGTAGATGATAGTGTTGCTTGAACTGGGTCCAATATCGTTTATTTACTATGAATTTCATTATCAAGAAAAATTCTTAATTAAGATAGAAAATTATACGCAAGTTCCTTAGTGCAAGACATTGATATTCTGCAATTATTCAAAATATTATGATTAAGAATTCAAATAAAAGTAAAAATAGGTTAAAGGGTTTAGAGTTGGCACTGCTCTGTACATGCAGTAAAGTGAGAATTGATAAGACACATTCCAAATTAGAATGTGAATTTGCAGGCACACCAAGAAATGGTGCTGTCAACTATAGTTTAGGCGTTAATTTATTTACCAAAATAAAAATATAAGATCTACAGTGTTGGTTAACCAATACCTGCATGTGTTGCAGGTGAGGAGTCATTTCATCATTGAAGTGCACAGAGAATTATTGACCATGAATTTTCGATTCGTGACTTCTTATTTGTAAGACGTCGTTTTAATTGTATTATGTCTGGTTTGCAGGTTAGCCAAACAATTTTTTTTTTCTTTCAAGTTTGCCAATACACATCACAGGTACTTGACATAACATATTGCGATTAAGAACTGAATAATTCACATCAAGGAAAAAGGTTGATGGGCACGAAATTAATCTTATTTTTGTTACTTGGAAAATTCAAAGTGCCTATACAGCTTTATAGAGTAATGTGTGAATTGATGATGACATTTCTATGTGTATCTACACATGATTCTTGAAGGCAGACCAAGAAATTGTGATAGACTGAGACTGTAAGGCCAAATTTAGCACAATGCTAAAAAGATGTGTATAGTGGGAATTGCACTGCTGTCTTTTGCTTCACTAGCCACCACACACGATATAATTTCACTTTGGAGGAAATCCCAATAAACTTCATATTCCCCACTGGCACTAGGGTTAGGGTTTCTCATCTCTCTCATGTCAACATCCCTCACTTGGAGCTGGTGGCCTTGGTTTCTCTTGATGGCTTTTTCTCAGTCTCCAACCAAACCCTCTCTCTCTCTCTCTCTCTCTCTCTCTCTCTTTCTCTCTCTCAAGGCTTGTTGCTTTCACCATTATATATATGAACTCACCATCTTTTCTTTATCTGATTCAATTTCCACACCACCACTCTTTGCTGAAAATTATAGCACAAGTTATAAGTAGTATGTGTCCTTGGCAATCGTTTTCAATTCAATTGTTTGCTGTATGTGGTTAGTAATTCAGCAAAGCCACTTTGTTTTCACTACATTTTTTGTCATGGTTACCTGATTTTATAGGACTAGCATGACCACTGCAGTTAGTGCATGTTTCTTTGCATGAAAATATGTGGATTTTTCTGTTCTGAAATAGGAGGAAGAGATGGATTGAGAGAGTTCTTTACTGCAGGATTTGGTTGTATACTATTCTTCAAAGCGCTAGGCAAGACTTAAGAGCACAAGGATTTAAAAAGACCGGCCCTAAAAAGAATCACTACGTCAGAGTCAAAAAAAATTATGGTTACATAGAACTTTCATTCATTCTTTTCAGTTACATTATAAGATATGAGTTTTCATACGGTCATTGCTTGGAACAAGTGTCTCACGTGTGAGCAGCACATGACCAAAAATGTGAGACACATCTTTCACGCAACTGGTGTAGAAAACTCTTTCTCCTATTAGTGTTATCTATCACATGTTGAGTTCAAGGGAACTTGAAGAATTAAAAGGGTTTTTATGATAGATACACATTGCAAACTCTCATTGATATGTTATAATAGACACAAATCTAATATAATGGCAGTGTTTAAGTCATTAACAACCGTTAATTAATATGAACTTCATAATAAATTTCATATATTGATATCTACGATTATTTAGGCGCTCATAAACAAAACTTAAAAAAAAATTAAAATCAAATCTTCTCTCCCTTCTCAAAATAAAGGGCAAAAAGAAGGCTGCAACCTCTCTGAGTATGTTTCCATATCACTGTAAGCAATCTTCTTGGGATCACCAACATTCTCTTCACTTTCACTTTATTACTGCCACACACATACACCATTAAAACCACCACTTTCTTTTCTTTTACTAAAGCTGCCTTGTCTCCTCCTTCTCTCTTTTTCCCTCTTCCTCCAAATTCCCTTATCCCAAAACTACCCATCTCAAAGAAAGTCCCACATACAATTCTCAAGGTCTTTTTTGTACTTTTCTTCATCAAAGCTAACAAAGGCAAATGCATGGGAAATCAGTACACGTGTCGTGTCATGAGTGGTGGTGATTTGATTGGCATGCAATAGGGGGGGGCAAAGGTAAATGGCAGCGGATCTCGTCGGGATCTGCG